GTCTACATATTGAGTTCCAGGCCAGCTGGGGCTACAGGGAGATCCTGTCTCAAAAAGACCAAAATAAATAAATAAAATAAAAATGTTGTTTGAAGGCCAGGTGTGGTGGCATGCATCTCTAATTTAAGCAGACACAGGAGAATCTGGAAGACTAGCCTGCATAACAAGAAATTGTTTTTTTTTAATCTTTAAAAAAAAATTTTAAATTTATTTAATAACCACTTTTATTAGTAGAAGCGTTTCATTATAACAGCATTGACATAGTCAATAACAGTTTTCAGAGCAAAGATGCATCTTTTTCAAAATTGGCTCTAAATTTTTACGTTCACAGTGTTGAATTAGTACAGTTATACACTATTGTACTTAGTATAAACCCTATAAGACATAAAATTGAATGAGGTTTTAACCTTTAGAAAAGATCTCCATTTCATTTTAAAATACACTGTTTCATACGGAGAAACTTTTTTTGGGGGGTCTTTTTTGAGATAGGGTCTCCCTGTAGCCCCATCTGTCCTGGAACTAATGCATCTGACGCTTAAAAATTTGCACATGTGTCTCTAATCTCTATATATCTGATTATTACCAGTCACAGTTACTTTCTGAGCTCCTTGGTACCTGAGCATGGATGTAAAGTCATCAGGTAGATTTCAGTGGTAATGTTTCTCATATCTACTAATTAACATGAAGCAAAATTTTATGCTTCTTCCTCAAATACAACTCATTTTTTATTTATTGATTTTTTGTGTGTATTTCATAGATAACATCCCAAACAATCTTAATCCCTTTTTAAAATTCTATGAATTGTCATAAAGTTTGATGACTTGATAGGTTCTGACACAGTAGTTTTTGTTTTAAAGGAACACCAAAGCTTTGCTATTTACTGTCACCTTCCTCCCCGTGTGGTCAAAGGGGATAAATACGCAAGCATAAAACACTCTTTTCTCACCTTGATTTGATTGAACAAGAGAAGTCTGAAAATGTGGGTTGTAAGTGTGAGCTTTGTTGCTTGTGAACTAGGTGATGTTAATGTGGGACCATCACTGTTTCTTAAGTGGGCAGAAGTTTGAGAAAAGCTATATCATACAGCTTACTTGACTTTTAACCTTATATTGTGAATATTATTTGGGGGTTTTTTATGGTTTTTTTTTAATTTTTTTTTTTTATCTTTTTGAGACCTGTCTCTCTGTAGTCTTAACTGGCCTGGAACTCTCTTGGTAGACCAGTCTGGTCTTGTACTTACAGAGACCCCCACTGGATTAAAGGCATGCACCACCACACAGGTCAAGGAAATATTTTAAAGTATGATACAGATCATAGTATAGAGAGACAGTTCAGCATTGGGCCCTGTTGGTGGCACACACCTTTAATCCCAGCACTAGGGAGGCAGTGGCAGACGCTCTCTGTGAGTTCAAGGCTAGCCTGGTCTACGTAGTGAGTTCCAGGCCAGCTGGGGCTACAGGGAGACCCTGTCTCAAAAAGAACAAAACAAAACAAAAAACAAGGGCTAGAATTGGATGTGTGCAATACACAGATGCTTGGCAGGAAGTAGTCACCATATAAGTGTTACTATTAGTACATACCGATCACCCTTAATCCAGAAACATGAAACCCAGACTACTCAAAATCTGAAACTTTTTGTGTTGACATCATGCCAACAAGTAGAAAACTACTCACCTGACCTCATGGAACAGCCCAGCTAGAATGCAGCTGCACTGAAGATAGTCTCTAAAATTGCCTTAAGAAGTTCTCTAAGAAGTAGGATTCTAGGCCAAGCGTGTGGCATGTTCCTCTAATCCCAGTGCATCTTGTCCAAAAAGGATTCTCTGGGCTGTAACTTTATTGTCTGTAAAGGAGATCAAGAGAACTGGTATCTGAAGAAAAAAAATTTAAGGATATTTTGCTTTTATTTTTTTTGACTCTGTCCTTTTAGAGAGAGGCAAAAAATGTTTTTTTCTCCATTTAGAAGTTTTTGCGCTTCTGTTAGTATCTCAGAAATAGTTTGTTGAATCAGTTTGAATTCTGCCTCTGTCTCTTACTGTTTGGAAATCCTTACTCTGTTGAGTTAAATACTGTAGTCTCAGTTTTTCACCACTAAAATGCGTGGGAGGGGTATGGAGAGAGTAGTGTGGTCTTGTCTGTATTTCCATATTGTTGAAGGATTAACTATAATGTCTTTGAATTGCCTAGGGCAGTGTCAGGCCCTTAATTGCGTCCTGAATGGGAACTATTATGTGTAACAGAAAGCTGGAAACCAAAACCTATTCAAGGAGCCAGTAAAGTGTCTGTTCCAGGCCTTTGGCAGTGAGATACAAAAGGGAAAGTTAGGAGCAACCATCTTAACCCCCCAGGCCTGCTGGCATCTCTGACTGGGAGGAGAGTTGTTGGGCCTTCTCTGTGCAATGGCCTCTGGGTGGCAGGGAGCCAGCTCACACTTCTTACACCCCAGCCCGACTCCAGAGAACACACATTCTGGTAAATCATAAAAGCACCTCTTCATAGTGAGGACAGGTGGGGTAAGAAGAGCCTCACAGGAGAAATAGGGAGGGAGAAGTGCATTGTACTGGGTTTTTGATTTGGGTTGTTTTTTTTTTTGTTGGCGGGGGGGGGGGGGGCTTTTGGCTTTCGTTGCTTTGAGACTGTTCTCATTCTGAGGCTCTGGTCTTGAACTTGCAGCAATTCCCCCAAGTGCTGGGATTACGAGCTTGAGCCACCATACCTAGTCCTACCCAGATATTACATCTACCACCACCACCTCCTCCTCCTTTTTTTCATTTTCAGGTTTACTCTTTGTTGTTTGTTTTAAATGGTAAAATACATTATTCTTGTCTTTAATTTAGTAGTTCTGTTCCAGCCCCATGTTGCTGTTACCAGAACTGTTAAGAGCCAGAGCCTGGGGAGCTGGAGAGATGCCTCAGTGGTTAAGAGCACTGGCTGTTCTTGCAGAGGACCCAGGTTCAGTTCCCAGCACCCACTTGTTGGCTACCACCTGTCTTATTCCAGTTCCAGGGTATTTAATACCCTCTTCTGGTTTCCGCTGGCATTGCATGCACGTGGCA